TGATTGGATCAGTGATTGATTGGATCAGTGGGTGATTGGATCAGTGCTTGATTGGATCAGTGGTTGATTAGATCAGTTAAGCTGATTAAAGTAGTGGTACATTATGAGGTTAGTATGTTTGATTAGATTAGTGAAGAAAAGATATGGGAGGAGGGATGCTATTTGTGGGCACCTCACTTAATGTGCAGGATGCCACGGTACATTTCAGACTGTTGAAAATGAGCATAACGGTGATGGATGTGTTACGTAATTCAATGTAAGCGTTTCACATTGTATATGGAAGCAGTACCCTAAACCAGCAGTGCTTGATTAGACCAGTGAAGTTGATTAGGTCAGTTCTTGATTAGATCAGTGGTTGATTAGATCAGTGGTTGATTGGATCAGTGCTTGATTAGATCAGTGGTTGATTAAATCAGAGGTTGATTAGATCAGTGGTTGATTAGATCAGTGCTTGATTGGATCAGTGCTTGCTTGATTGGATAAGTGGCTGATTGGATCAGTGCTTGATTGGATCAGGGGTTGATTAGATCATTGCTTGATTGGATAAGTGGCTGATTGGATCAGTGCTTGATTGGATCAGGGGTTGATTGGATCATTGCTTGATTGGATCAGTGGCTGATTGGATCAGTGGCTGATTGTATCAGAGGTTGATTAGATCGGTGGTTGATTATATCAGTGCTTGATTGGGGGTCAGTGCTTGATTGGATCAGTGGTTGATTGGATCAGTGGTTGATTAGATCAGTGGTTGATTAGATCTGTGAAGTTGATTAGATCAGTTAAGCTGATTAAAGTAGTGGTAGATTATGAGGTTAGTATGTTTGATTAGATTAGTGAAGAAAGGATATGGGAGGAGGGATGCTATTTGTGGGCACCTCAGCTAATGTGCATGATGCCACGGTACATTTCAGACTATTGAAAATGAGTATAACTGTGATGGATGTGTTACTTAATTCAATGTAAGCGTTTCACATTGTATATGGAAGCAGTACCCTAAACCAGCAGTGCTTGATTAGACCAGTGAAGTTGATTAGGTCAGTTGTTGATTAGGTCAGTGGTTGATTAGATCAGGGGTGGATTAGATCAGTGGTTGATTAGATCAGGGGTTGATTAGATCAGTGCTTGATTGGATCGGTGGCTGATTGGATCAGTGCTCGATTGGATCTGTGCTTGATTGGGTCAGTGGCTGATTGGATCAGTGGCTGATTGGATCAGTGGTTGATTGGATCAGTGGTTGATTAGATCAGTGGCTGATTAGATCAGTGCTTGATTGGATCACTGGTTGATTAGATCAGTGGTTGATTGGATCAGTGGCTGATTGGATCAGTGGTTGATTGGATCAATGGCTGATTGGATCAGTGCTTGATTGGATCGGTGGTTGATTTGATCAGTGGCTGATTGGATCAGTGGTTGATTAGATCAGTGGTTCATTAAATCAGAGGTGGATTAGATCAGTGATTGATTGGATCAGTGGTTGATTGGATCAGTGGTTGATTGGATCAGTGGTTGATTGGATCAGTGGTTGATTAGATCTGTGAAGTTGATTAGATCAGTGAAGCTGATTAAAGTAGCGGTACATTATGAGGTTAGTATGTTTGATTAGATTAGTGAAGAAAGGATATGGGAGGAGGGATGCTATTTGTGGGCACCAAGGGCGATAAAGTAAGACTCTGTTTCTACAAAAAAATAAATAAATAAATAAAAATATCAAAGTTTACCTAATAGTTTTTCCCCCAACATGTTTTTTAAATAAATTCCACCACACTTTCTAACAAAGTATACACATTTCATGATACAAAATTCCAAAACAGCATCTATGCTTTATTCCAGCAGCCCAGCAGTCAACAAACTATGAGCCATAATGTATTTTGTAAATAAAGTTTTATTGGAAAACTCCACATCCATTCACTTTGTAGGCCTGAGTATTGTATAACGTGCAATACTTACTGACATGGTGATGACGGCTGCTTTCACACTTCAGAGGTGAGTCACTGTGACCAGCTAGGGATCACACGGTCCACAAAACCTAAATTACTCTCTGACCCTTTGCAGAATTTAGGTAATTACTTGATTATTAAATTCAATTCTTGAAATTTTTTCATGATAAAAAGTTGGAGAAACTCAATTTTAGTTTTGAATACCTGGAGCTCAGGAATAGGTTTAAAATGAAAATGCATCAAATAAAACAATAAGGGATGATAATTAAAGAATACTCACAATCTTTCAAGGAGACTTAATCCAGAAAATGAGCCATTCTTCAGCTCGGATATCTTATTGTTACTCAGAATCCTAAAAAGGGCAGAAAAAAAATAATAAGTTGCCTAACATACAACCTCAATATCAAAGTAATTTAGCTTATTATGTTCAAACCTACAAAGAATGCTCAGACATCCCTTATTATAACCCTAATTTTTTAGCTGGTTGACAAAAAGAGAAAATCTCCCCCTTTCTTTTTGAAATCAACTACTTAAAATAGCTCACTCATACATCTTATCACATTGTAAATGACACTCGGCCAGAACCTTTAAAATAAAAATTGAGAAAAGTCAACAGGTAATAGCTATAAGTTCAACATAAGCATACAAAATGCTCTGCACATTTATAATTAATCAACTTATGTAAGTTGAATATTTTAAAACTGGAATCAAATTTTTAAAAAAAGCTTTAACATGTGATCTATAAAATACTGACATAAAGAAATAAAGTATCTTCTAGATATCATTATAATCATGCTGAATATCGTTTATAATTTAACTGTCAAGGGTGGGCGAAAATATGGTTTCCACATGTACCCACACAGGCAAGTAGCTGAGCCCTAACACTGCACCCACATAATGAGAAAATATTTAAAAATGAACTGAAAACAAAAATTGATTAAAAGAAGTCATAATCAAGACCACGCTGACAGCGGGACTTGTCTGAGAAGAGACTGTGTAATCTTGTCGCTCCTCTATCTAGGCTTTGTAACTGTCTGCAGCTTTTGCAGCCTGAATGTCAATGAAAAATTTCCAAGAATAGGGTGAAAATGCTACAGTCCCCTGATTTGAGGAAGTGGTGATAGGAAAGTAAAGAAAATGAGAACACCAAAGGACAGAAGAATGAAATAAATGTTACTGACACTAATAAGAGACAGAGCTAGATATTGAACTTGAGCAGCTTTTACTGCAAATACCATGTTCCTCACCATGCACCAAGGTCACCAAGGTCGGGCTGGAAGTACTTTTCATGATGGGGACAGCGTGACCTGGAGCTTCGTGAAACGGCGACACAGCAACTCTGTGTACATACAAATGATCACAGAGCCTGCCTCAGCGTCGTAAGACTTTAGCATTCATTTTCACTTTGTCTCAAAGAAACTTGGATTATTTTCACTAAAATATAAACAGCTGGGCGGCGCCTGTGGCTCAGTGAGTAGGGCACCGACCCCATATACCGAGGGTGGTGGGTTCTAACCCAGTCCCGGCCAAACTGCAACAAAAAAATAGCCAGGCGTCGTGGCAGGTGCCTGTAGTCCCAGCCACTCGGGAGGCTGAGGCAAGAGAATCACCTAAGCCCAAGAGCTGGAGGTTGCTGTGAGCTGTGATGCCACAGTACTCTACTGAGGGCAACAAAGTGAAACTCTGTCTCTTAAAAAAAAAAAAAAAAAAACAGTCATTAGTCACTTGCTTTTCTTTTGATATAAGTGGAATAAAAAACAAAATCCCTGCTCATGTAGATGCACAAATCAGAGCCTTTTTTGGATGATCATTAGGAACGCCTCAAGTCCGGCAAACCTGGGGTTGAACCCCAGCTGTACGGATTTCAAGCTATGCTGATCTTTGCAAGTCACACCCCCTCTCTATGACAGAGTTCCCTCATTTGCAAAATGGGAAGAACAGGACCGACCCCAAAAACACTAGAAGGAAATTAGAAAAAGCAGACACATTTGATGAGCGTCCATTATGATTCAGATTCTGTTCCCTGGATTCTAACACACATCCCCTCTCCCTTCAGTGGTTCTGAAGTCAGGATATACCTTGTCAAGTACAGTAGAACCTCTGTAAGTTGACCACCCAAGGAACTAAACAAACTGCTCAACATACGGAGGTGGTCGACATGAGGAACTAGGCCCACTGTACTCACATGTACCCTATGAAAACTCAGTCAACTTCAGGAGGTGGTCAATGTAGGAAGATGGTCAGCGACAGAGGTTCTATTTTATATTATTGTGCAGTATTCTGTCCCTCCCCAAAGCTGTTAGTACCGCATGAATAAAGCTTCAATCATTGGGACCAAGAAAACATGGAGATCAAAACCTTTCTAATCACAGTATAATACCGTCATCTCTCATCAATACAGCCAAGGTGTTTGAAAGAAAAGTAGCACAGACAAAGCAAATCGGACTCTCCCATGACCACAAACATTTCTGGACCAGGATTTCCAGTAGCCTAATGGCGTTCCAGGAGCCTGCAAACCTCGCGGCTCTAAGCAGGCACAATCTTTCACTAGCACTCACCGAATCTAACAAACAGCATATTCTACTATTTTATGTCAGCATGATGGATAGCAGACAAAAATCAGAAACGAACAAAGAGGCGGAGGGCAACCGTAAGACTTAAAACCAATTATGATACAGCCGAACAACAAAATGGTAGGCGTTCAATAAAAATTGTTCTTCCAATGAAAACTTGAGGGGTAAATGCTTACAGTCGGTTAAAAAGCAAACAAGAAAATTGACAATATTATTAATTAAAAAGAATCTGCACACACAGGCCCAAAGAAAGGTTGGAAAGAAAATACATCAAAATGATCCTAGTTTTAGTGGTGAGGTTTTATTGTAGATAATCTAGCAGTATCTTTTGAATATCTAGATAAAGACTTTTTTTAGTTTTCCTCCTGATAAACATAAGAATCGTAATAACTATGTATAGCTTGAAAAACTGAGTTAATTTTGACTGTAAGTATTATCTTAGAAATAAAAACCCAAAGAATATGTATCCCTTGAGATTAAAGAGTCACTTATTTAGGGCAGCGGCTCAGTGAGTAGGGTGCCCATATACCAAGGGTGGCAGGTTCGAACTGGACCAAACTGGCCCCAGCCAAACTGCAACAAAAAATAGCTGGGTGTCATGGCAAGCACCTGTAGTCCCAGCTACTCGGGAGGCTGAGGCAAGAGAATCACTTAAGCCCAAGAGCTGGAGGTTGCTGTGACCTGTGACGCCACAGCACTCTACCGAGGTCAATAAAGTGAGACCTGGTCTCTAAAAGAAATAATAAATAAAGAGTCATTTATTTATATTTGAAATACACTTATGTAAGGACTGATGTCAGCAACTTTATAGTCACTATACATAGGGCAAAGGACAAGGGGATACTTAGAGGTTAGCGTTTTACTCAAGACCCTGCCAGGAACAAATAACTCAGTTTGTGATATTTCTTTATATTCAAAATAGAGACTTTCCTACGTAGACTTCCATTTCATCTTTAAGAAGGAGAAAGAAATAGGCTAGAATGATTACCAAGATCCCGTACAGCTAGTTTTAATTTTCTACAATTATTCATGTTTTAATAAGCAAAGCCACTGAACTTTGCAGTGACTGAGCATTTATAACCAATAAACTAAAAAAAAAAAAAAAAAGGAAAAAACAGAAAACTATACAAACTACCAACCCCAGTGGCATTAGCATCCTGTTTCTGCGTGAAGAATGAAACCCAAATGTCACAAGTAGCTCGTAAAAAACTGCCAGGGTGGTGGCTAAATTACACACAGTGCAATTCAGTAATGCTTCAGCAAAAGGACTGTCATTTGCTCAGTCATAAAAGCTTTAGTACGATAAATGATAGATTTTATTGAGGAAAGTAAAAAGGAAGACATTTCATCACACTTAAAAAGTTATAACTGTAACCTTAAAAATATAGTTTACAACCCCAAGTTAATATATACAGTCTACACATTACTTCATGTGTTTAAGGATTTTGTGCAAGAAAACGGGATCAGTGTGAATAAATCTACTCTACAGACAGTTTTTATACTCACTTCTGAGATGGGGGACTGTGGAAGTAGCGAATGCATAATATCACGGATCATTATAAGCCGCAAACCCATCCAGAATCAATATTTTTGCTGGCATCTCTGAAATCTCAAACTTTCTAGGTGGGAACTAAATGAAAAATAGAAAACTTGGCCCAAGTTATGAAGCTCATATATACCCATTTCTGTTCTGTGCTAATGACGTGAACGCCACATGATCTATAGCCAACGCTTAGGAATGCTATTCTGGGCTGGCGCCTCTTGAATTTCAACACGGTAAAGAAGAATTTGTCGTCCAATGTTACCATTTAACAGGGTCCCCAGTAGGTCTGGTACAGACCGATACTGGCATGTGAAAAAGGAGTAAGACTTCATAAAGACACGTATTTAAGAAAACCAAAAGCTTACGGAGTGGACGAAACAAAAATTAAGTAGTATTAGAAGTTTTCAGTTGCTGTTGCAACTCCAGGAATAGAATGAATTCCCTTGAAAGCCATTAGCAGCACTCACACCCTGCGTGGGGTTAGACAAGTTCATGAACTCATTCTAGAAAAAAGTGCTACACACCTCATTGCTGAATTATCACTATGATCATCTTCAAAGTACTTCCTCTTGGGAAGTTGCACTCATACCAGCACCTAGTTCAAATAACTCTGGAAGTCTTTTTCTGGAATGGCATTCGCAGCAGTCATTGTACGAGGTCTGACCATGAAGTTCATGAACTCATCCTAGAAATAGGGTTTTGAAGGGTGAACTAGGTGCTAGGGTCAGTGCATAGCTTCCCAAGGAGCAGTTCAAGGGTGACCCCGGGGATATTCAGCCATGAGATACACAGCCCTTTTTCTAGGATGAGTTTGTGAACTTAATTGTCTAGCCTTGTATGGCAGAAGGCACAAAATGACTTCCCTTTGAAAATCATTAACTTAACTCAGGAACTTAAAAGTCATTAACTTAACTCAGGAACTTAAAAATATACATCAAGAACATTAAATATTCCAATCAAATATTTGTCAATTATGAAAGGCTACTTGAAAGGCTGAGGCAAGAGAAGATTGCTTGAGCCCAAGAGTTTAGGATGCTGTGAGCTATGATGATGCCATGGCACTCTACCAAGGGTGACAAAGTGAGACTCTGTCTTGAAAAAAAAAAAAGACAAAATTTCCAAATGCATAAAAAGCTCTTAGAAGACAATTAAGAAAATAAAATCTCCAATGGAAAAACTGGCATATACCCTCGACAGAAAGTTCAATGAAAGTAAACAGCAATAGATCACAACCAT